ACACACACACACACACACACACACACACACACACACACACTTGTGGAAACCGGTGTACACAAAGAATGCCGCGCACAAAAGCAGTATTGACTAGTATGCTGCTTTTTCAGGACCCAGGTCAGGTCCAATAGGCAGAGCCACAGAGGCTTTTTCTTCTGCCTGTGAACAGCAGTGTGGTTAATCACTGTCACTGCATGTATTTGCATTTGCATGTTTCCTGTTGTCCTGCGTGCTCCTTTACAGCCGTTACAAACGTTACAGCTGGGACAAAGAGCTGCACATAACTGGGAGAAGGGAGACGTGATTATGACTTCTTCCCTGCCCCTGCTCATCTCCCTCTTCCCCCTCCTTCCAGCACACCCACATGTAATACTACCAGCACTACCCTCACCGACTGCAGTACCAAAAGCAGCTTTCCTAATGAAAAAAAGCCTGAAACTCCTTTAATTTTTTTTTTAAATTTCTCACGACATCTATACAGATTTACATTTCCTATTGGAAGGAGTTATACAACAAAGAGTAACTGATGTTAAGGTAGTGGTTAAGTAAAATTTCAAGTTAAGTTATAAAAACTAGAAAGTTTGCTCATGTAAATGAACTTAATCAAATTAATTAATTAAATAAATGAATAAATATTTATGTATTTACGGGGTGCAAAGATGTCTAAATATTCTATTTACGCATGTTTTGGTGTATCACTGTTACTGTTCTCCAAACTCAAAATAAAGCTTTTGCATAAGATTTGACGTAGCAGTAGCACAGCGGATCCCCTTCTTTACAAGTCTAGAGCTACTGATATACACACACCACTTCATTCTTTATTAAAAAAAAATAAAAATAAAAATAAAAATCATTTCCCCCCTTTCTTTGGTCTCTTTCTTTGTTCCCCTGCTACTGCTATCCAGACACAATGGTTGTCTCCACGCGGAGGATACAGGAAAGTTTTTGTCAGCCAGCCAAAAGACAAGAAGAATGGAGGAAAAAAGTATTTCGGAAGCAAAGATTTTCTAGTGTGACAGTTTTATGACGGTTTCTTTTGGTTGCCACTTGAACGAAAGAGAGAGAGAGAGAGAGAGAGAGAGAGAGCGAGAGAGAGAGAGAGAGAGAGAGAGAATGCTCAGTGAAGAGCACCTTGCAAGCCAGTGCCACAAAGAGGCTTTAATGAATAAACAAACGCAAGAAGAAAAAAAATTGGGTAAAAAGAATAAATAGATATCCCACGACACAGACAGACATAATTAGCTGCTTTGTAAAAAAAAACTTATTGGGAGTTAGTGTGTTTAAATAAAGTAAAATAGTAATAATAAGTATAATGATAGAACCCAACACCGTGATCTTTATCACTCACACGGATCCACAGTGTACATTGTTTTGTGCATAGTTGTTTGACTTTGAGAGGGCGGGACTCTTTGGAGAGCGAAATGAACTAGGCGCGGCCAAAAAAGAGCCCCATCCATCTATCACACGTGTAGACAAAGGGGGACTCCACAACACAAAGCTAGATGTGCCCTCTCAAACTTTTTTTTTTCCTACAACCGACAGCAGCGCGCGCACAGGAAGCCGACTGCCCAGGTGAGTTGTCTCCAAGCGGCACACTGTCTTTGCTTTCAAGCCTCGAGCGATTTTTTGGAATTTATTCCCAGTTAAAAGTTGCGGCTGTAGTTGGTGCGTCAGCGCTCAAACTTGAGCACAAAGCAGGAGGGAGAGGGAGAGAGAGCTAGAGAAATCGAGGCAGCAAGGAAGGAGAGAGAGAGAGGGAGCGAGAGGAGCGGTCCCCTGTTCCTTTGTCTGATGCGGGTCGCTTTGAGGAGAGAACTTGAGGGGGATGCTCACACACGCATCTCCATAACGCTCATTAACACTCAACTTGTGCTACTTAGAAGCAATTGTCAGGGAGCTTTCATGGAGTTGAGGAAGAGTTTGTGGGGTTGCTGTATTTTTTTGTCTCTCGAGGATGTTGCGACACAAGACAAAGCCTGTCAGAAGTTTGCGGAGGAAAGGACCTTTTTACGTACGCGAGAAAAATCACAGTTGGCTGATGGATAGTTTGTAAATACTTCTTTTTTCCTTCTTAGTGCAGTAGTTTTATGACTGTTGTGTTTACGTTCTTGCGAAGTTGTCTTTCTGCACTATGGGAATTCCGCGCAGTGCAATCAGGTGTAAAGTCTCCAAGAAACAAGAAACGGTAACACAGAATTAAACTTTTTTTTCGCACTAATGAGAAATGATGTTTATAGGCAACAAAAAAGATGCAATGACGTGAATCTAAAGCGAGCTCGTCTTGAAAATCTTTAAGAAACTTGTTAGAGTTTATTTGGAAATAGATCAACAGGTATAAGTCGCTGCAGCTTCTTTGTTAGGCTACTGTAAAGGCTCCTTTGTTCTCAGTCCATACAAAGAAAGCTAGCAGAAAGGAGCGCAGATCCACCAGGAAACAACTTTTTCTTTTCTTTTTCAAACTTGCAAAGTTAAATTTATGTGATATATATTTTTTAATTATGTTGTTTAATTCTAGTATTTCAAAGTGTTTGAATAGCTTTTATTTGCCTTGTTTTCTTTTAAAGAAGCAAATACCCGGGAAATGTCAATGTAAATACTTTTTATTGTTTATTGAGTTTTATTATTAAGTTCCACCTTCATTTTTTATTATTTTTCCTCGTTATTTAAAAAAATAAAGTGGACACGATTTAAAAACAAACAAACTTTCTTTATGTTGTGAAGGTGTGGCCAAACAACTTGTGTGGATTTGAAGCATTCCACAGTGGAGTAGCTCTACCCTTAAACTTTGCATTAGTCAGCAAAGGGGAGAATTCACACCTACAGGATTTACATGTGGTTTGAAAACAAATTAGTTTGTTATTCTATATAAAGAAATATATATATTTAAAAGTTTCTAAAAACAAATTTGACTCATACAGTTCATTCACACACTTTTATGCTGCTTATTCACTCCTAAAGTGCAAGTTTAATATGATTTAGACTGGGATTCCATTTGAATGAGAAAAATGTGCTGTAGCTTTGACTGACTGCCATGCCTTTAACCTTTTTTTCTTTTTTCTTTTTATTTGTCTGGGCACTGTCCTTAGGTGGGAATTTAAGCAATTTAACCAGTACAGTGCTTGCTTCTGATGGATTAAGAAAATAAAAAAGATGTGTAGAAAAAAAAACACATGGAAGATGTACAGATTCACCTATCAAGCCATTTTTAAGATGAAATGAAGGATTAAGAGACTGTTCACTTTTCTTCTGGATGAACATGAAGACTTATCTCATGAGGATTTAGACTTCAGCAGCAGCAGCGCCAGTCGGATTGTGTTTTAGGCACACTTGGAAATCTAAACCTCATGGAGATACTTTGAGGATTATAAAAGATGTGCATGTAGAATGCCACAATACAAGACGCGTCCTGGGCCAAAGTCCTTGGGATAGCAGGATATTGCTTTCCTGATCCTTCTCAGAATGGGTAGGTAATATTACTCTTTAGTGGGAGATGGTATGTGGCACTTGTTCAACCACTTGTTTGCAGGGCTGGTACATGTGTGAAATCCCTAGCACACGCAGGGACACACAAACACACACACACACACACTATTTTCCAGCTACATTTGTCATCAGCTGTATTTTCTAAGGCGTTGTGTTGCCCTGTACTGTAATCTGAGTTTATTTGTAATTCCATATATTATGTAGGCTTAAAGCTAAAATCAATATACAGTTGATAAAATATTATTTTGAGGCAACCAGCTTGTCTTATCATGCCAGTCATTAGTCATTGCCTCTGAGAAACTAAGATAATTTTGGCATGGTTAAACAATGATGACTACCAATACTGTAAACTTGCAATTCTCGCAATGTCTTTTTGTATTCCACACTTGTTATGCACGGGGAAATTTTTTTAATAACACAGTGAATAACCATGAAATGCCCAAAGCACCTTAATGAAGCTGGACGTTTAGTCCAAGTTTGTTGCACAGGACCACTAGTCTGTATTGTAAAATAATGAGCTAAAAGTTCATCTGATGATGTGCAGTTTGTACAGTTCAGTAGTAGTAGAGTCCCTACCTCATGACATGTTTATATTTTAGTTTAGTTTTATCTGTGCATGGTCTCGGCATAGCACAGCAGCATAATTGTATCATAGTCGGAGTGCATGTTTCATCTGATTTGACTTCGGTTATCTTTTATAAAGCCCAAGAACGCTTTTGGGCCAAATTTGAGTGTCCACGGTCTGATCAGTTTTAACACCGATAGTTAGTTTCACTTACGATTGCGTGACAGTCGCATAATTTGCACGCACTGTGATCCACAGCATTCATCAGTTGCGAAATGTTCTGTAGAAAGAGAAATCTTTCTTCAAATGCTCAGTTCATTCGGGGGTCAGGCGAGAGCGAGACCATCCTACGATGGAGAAGGCAGTTTTGTATTTCGCCTAATGCTTTAGCAGCAACTAATTCAGACGAATCTCTTAGAGTCAGAAAAGAGTCACAAGCTATTCAACTGGCCTTCTTAACCTGCATTTGCATTCTACTATACAGGAGTGTGAGGGAGAGAGGAGAGTCACTCCTTTCTCTCTCTTTGCAGCCCCTTATCAATGATGTCATTGAGAGCCAATGAGAGCGTACAGTGGAACTTGTAAGCATCCAAGCTCCACCTCCAGTCGCTTTGTGCATGGTAGCCCACATGGTCCTGCAGCATCACATTTTCACCATGCATTACTCTGCAGCAGAGAACGGGAGAGAGAGAGGCAGAGATACAGGGATGTGGCTCTTGGCTATGTGTTCTGATGTTAATCTACCGTGTCTGCTCAGAAATGAGTTGTTTATCATTTTAAACATGCAAAGAGCAACCAGATAACATTTTAAAAATGATTTGCCAAAAGCCTCTGAGATACTATTGAATAAGATTATAAAGAAGAATAAAATCCAGCCAAATAACATCGTTAATGTATACTAAATTATTGAAAGTAAGGCTAAAATGCAAAGAATCATTGGAGAAGATTACCTCGATAATATCCCTTAAATCAGTTCGAAATTTCAAATTAGTTACTAAAAGACATGCGGGTCCCTGACAATGCTTTTGTTGGCTTTAATCACATTACTCACTTTTTTCTTCTTGTAACCAGTGGAATTGACTGGAAGAGAAATATTTTACTTGCTTCCTGCTGGTGTTGTGCTAAAGACTCACGTCACTGTCTGGAAGTGAGTAGATCAGTTGGAATCAAGGTCAGTCGATAGTGTGACACACAGGTAGGGCAGATATAGGTCAGTGGCACAATATGGGTGGTGATGAGTCACAAACACACACAGACAGACATAGAGGGAGGGAGGAAGAGGGAGCATGGCAAATTGGAGTCTGAGATATGGAAGCTTTATTTAACACAAATCATATCAACTTTGCAATGTAACATATAAATGAACAGGAAGTGCATATTAAGCTGCACTCATAACTCTGTAGCTCATACATGTGACATAGTGAATTTCAGTTGTGCAGTTGCATCCAGTACTCAGATAATGAAATAGTGAGTAAAACAGACACATCAGGGTTATAATAAATAATCATTATGACATGCCCGGCACTTGGCTCTTAATAGAGATTGCACTGGGGTGCTTTTTCCCACAATACAGCATGCTCCACTCTGTGCATCTTAATTACATTGCTTATCAGTAATGCTGTTATCAAGTGCGGGGCAGTTTTCTTAGCATTTGCCATTCAGTGGACTCTTTATGAGAAGATACTTTCTTGTATGCGGTCGCCCTAGTGGGAGCTGCAAATCTAAACCTAATCCACTGAGTTACACAGGATGACATTAACGCAGCAATCTGTGCCATCTCTCAGTTCTGAAGTCTCAATATCCATCTAAGCTGCTCATTAAAGTGGGGAATGGTTTAACACCCTCTTTTTCTATGCGCCATATGCACAACTAAATCTGTGTCACTATAATCGCTTATCCATCCTTGTTTGTTGTTACACTAAAATGCAGCTCATTCTCTGCCTGGAAGTGAAGTCTAATAAGAGCCAAGCTTTGTACTGCAGAGTTGGAGCAATGTATTACCTTAGATTCTCATCCCGGAGATGCCAGCATTCTTACATCTACATTGTTTCTATCCATTTATAATGCACAGCATGTCTGTAAACCCGACTCATGCTATGCAAAGTGCATTAGATTAGAATACAACATTAGGCCCAGAGTAACTAATCACTACAATGAGCCTAATTCTCCTAGACATTGTGTGGTTGGGCCTCTTGAAAGCTATCAGGTTTATTTTTTACCGCTCGCTGTATGGAGGTTATGGGAAATGCAGCTGATAGTGGCTCACATAAAATCCCTATAATAAATTTATGTGTACGCTGGTGGTGTTTTCTGGTTTATTAAGCAATAAAATGACAACAAATGCCACTTAAGGCCCAATCTGTTTATGCAGCATGTGATGCCTACACACCGTCGACCCTTAACTGTGTATGTTATCACTGCGCTTTATCTAATTCATGCTATTTTTACAGTCTCATATGTACTGTCTGATGCTCTGATACTAGCGCTGACAGATGGCCAAACAAATTTTGAGTTGGACCTTCAGAGCGCAACAGCCGCTCAAACAGATTTTGTATGTGTTATGTTCTGCGCGCCTTAACAAAAGAACAGAATTGGTTGGGATGGGCTGGTTGTCAAAAACAGCAGCAGTTAATAATCTTTTCATTTTCTCCACCAGCCGATTTTGGGCTGATAGTCCTTTTTTGCATATCATTGAGTCATACAGTTGGTACAGTTCAGTGAATTACAGTGCAGTAAAACAGGCCCACCATTACTAATCATGACGACAGCCCTAATTCTCCGAGCTACAGGCATTCTGTGGTCATCCTGTTGCAAACTATCAGAGCTTAGTTTTACCACTCAGCGCCTGTAGCTGAGAGATAAGTTAACGTGCTCTGCTGGCATGCTAATACATACCAGCACTGGGGGACAGGAATAAATTATTTCTTTATGACTGCGCACAAGGCAGAGCATTTGAAGGGAGCGTAGGGAGAGATAGAGAGGAAACATAGGGAGATGAAGCAGAAAGAACAGACATGGGGGTAAATGATGGGCAGAGAAGACAGGAGGGGAAAAAAGGAAATAGAGATCCAGATTGAGAGGGGAAAAAAAGAGTTAGAAAGAGAGATAAAAAAGACAAGGATAATGCAGATAGCAAGCCTCATTGTGCTCTTTATACCAGCCTTTCTTCAGTTTATAGTAATTCTGTCACCATGCCTGTGGTGAGAGAAGCAGCCATAAGTTAAGCTATGAGCTCAGCATCAACAGAGGGTTTGTTTTGGGAAATAATAATGGCAGAGAAAGTTTTATTGCTCTGACCAGGAAACAACAGCCTGCATCCACAAACGTGCGACCTTTTCACCGGTTTTGCCCTACTTTTAAACGCTCAAGTCACGCAACGACAAATGGGTGTCAGATAACATTAAAGTGAGTGAAATCTCACTAAAATACACCAGGATTGGTTTCAGTGAAAATAGCTTTGATTCAAATGGCAATTTAAGATCTCTGAAACATAAAAAAAAAAGAGTACTAACATTTAGCTAAATTATTTTTGAGTCTGCGTGCTGATGTCTTGTGTCGTGCCACGTTGTGTGCTTACACTTGGCAGCCGCTGTACGTTTGCACTCTGGGATTTCAGTAGAGGCAAAACCACACCACAAACAGTAGCATGACGAGTCAGTCAATACATAAAGGTAAGCGCCAAATCAAAATTCACCGGATGATAGCTCGCACGAGGTGTTGCACAGCAGGTCTGACTGTCTCTGAAGATATTGCTTTCCAACCCTCTTTCATCTATGCCCAGGTATAGATATGGGGGACACAATTTCCAATAACAGCCTTTAGCTGTCTGGTGGTCTGTCTATTATGGATCAACTTATTACCTCCATAAATGCAGAGCATGTTGCTGTCTGGGAATGGGCTGATAATCCCTCTAAAGACTGGGGTTTTATCAAAGCTAAATCTGCTACACACACACGCACAGACACGGACAGGCATGCCCCACATGAGTACACATAGACACACACATACACACACACATGACTTGCCTGGTATAAGCATAGACATATGTGTGAGGACTGGGATTTTATCACAGACAAATCTGTGATTGTCTGGTAGTTAAAAGATTATAAAGCAGTGATTTTATAGACACAAACACACACACGTGTCATTAGCGCATGAACACTGGCTTCCTTGCTACAGGCACAGTGTAGTTAAGTGATATCAGTGCTGCTATTCTTCAATACTGTGATTCGCTTTGGATTATTAATCTGATAAGGGCTCAGTAAATCATTTCACTGACAGCCTTTATTATATTCACTTACTTCTGTTTTCTTTTTACCCCCGCTTTAATATAAAGTCCCATTCCCAGCCATGCCCGGCTTTTTTCAGTTTCCTATGATTGCAGAGGTAATGTGTGTAACGTCACCATCAACACT